GTATATAGACTCTACTTGCACTATTTCTATTCTATTCTATTTGTATTTACTTGCACTATTTTATCTGTTTATTGCGTTGCACTGTTGGAGGAGCCTGTGACCTAAGATTCTCATTGACATCTACACTGTAGCTATGCACACATTACAATAAAAGCCTTGAATCTTGAATTTTGAATGATAAGATGCAAGGTTTACTGTATATACAACGACGTCTAATGGTTCGCTGGCAGGTCCGTGGCTTTGAGAGGGAAAGTGTGAAGAAAACAAAAAAACAGGGTCTTCATCTGGCCATATATATTATGTATTTATTTCAACAAGGACCATGCATACAAATACATTAATCTCAGAAAAGAGAAGAGATGCCAGATTTGAGCTAATAGCTAATTTCCATGTGCAGTCCTCAGGCAGGTACACAACAATCAACACACACTAAAAACATTGCATAATCTCAATCACACAAACAATTATAAAACATGATTTAAGTACAGGTCAATAAAATAATACATAGTATAGTTAAAATATAATATTGCAATACAGTTAAAATTGAAAACCTTAGATTACAGTGTCATTTAATGTTGGCATATATGGGGAAATGCAAGGTGAACTTCTCATCTCATCATTTGTGTCATTTCATTCTTTACTGGAGAATACATTCAAATATCTAGCGCGCTTCCGCATGATTGATGAAATGCTATTACATATTTCACAGCTGATCGAACAAGGTCCTTTTTGAAACATATAAGACATTCAACAATATCAAAAATCACAGGCACAAAAACCACCAAAGAATGTCATGTTTTTAGAAGAGGCATACAAGCGTTGACAACAATGTACAAGTTAATTCTTACTGACTGAAAGTAATGATAGTAATTATAATGGAAATGTCCTGACGTTATTTTCCTGCATGGGAAAAATCAGTCATCAGTTCAAAGTGGTCAAACAGATAAATGCTTTTTATAATTGATCATCTGTTACTTAAAATACATTATCTAAGAAATGTCAGAAAATACAATCAATGTTTGTCATTATGCAAACACAGCAATATAGCAGTTGCATATGATCAAGAAAATAAAGATAAAATACAGGTTGATTAAAAGTGTGTCCAAAGACATTTGAAAATGCGTCAAAAGCTCCCAGGTAGCAATGGATCATGTGACAATAAATTGTGATTCTGTTGTGTTGTGACCATAAATATTAAGTGAATGGGTATATTTGTGGTTTTCTCAATGGAGAACAACCTTTATACAATGTTCTTTCTTAACAGTGATTCATGCTTAAATGAATGAACATTGCACTGTTCTCCTGGAAAGTATAGGAAATGTATGATAGCATGGAAACATGTTAAAGGTCCCATGTCATGGCCATTTCTACTGATCATAATTCCATTGTTGAGGTCTACTAAAATACATTTATATTGAGCAATTTTCCAAACTCACATTGGTTTCTCATACAGCATCTCTGTATAGTATGTGTATTCACTCTCTGTCCTAAACGGCTTGTTGGAGCTCCAGCCCCCCCCCTCCCTGTGAGCCCAGTGGCCGTCTGCGAGACAGCGAGACACAGCGAAACCCAGCCCGAAACAAACACACACACCCGCAGCCTGGCTGGGAGTTTGTGTGTGTGCTCAGGCTGAGTTCCGCGGTGTCTCGCCGACCCCACACCAGTGAGCCAGCTCACAGTGTCCCGCTCCTCGCAGCAGCGAGCCTCGCAACGTCCCGCCGAGTGTGTGTGAGGAAGTCCACGGATTGGTCCAAACGTAACGGCTCCGCGGACGTAACGTAACGTTACGTTACGTCACTATACCCGAACTACGTCACTATACCCAAGAAGTAAACAATGGAAAAAGAGAAATCTCCAACGAGGCGTTCTGGGGCAGCAGACAGGTCTTTTCTGTGTTAGAGTTTTACTCGCTCCAGGGTGTACTACAGGGTTTTTGACTCTGCAGACCGTTTACATGCATAAAAACCTTCATAACACACAAGGGGACGGGTAATAACCAGAAAAGCATGACATGGGACCTTTAAGACATCACCCCCTTTTAAGTCCATCCAATGTATATCAGCCCTTCTAGGCCAATATTATTGCAGCACAGGTCATGTGACCGTTGTAAAAACTTTGGATCCAGTCTCCCTGATGGGGCCCTGTCCGGTTGGGTGTAGGTTTTTTATGCTCCCCCGTCCTCCCATCTTAACAATGGGATTTTTTGTAATGTTGTGTTTATCTGACCTATAGTCCAAACCTCAAATGAATTCACTTTTATTTTGATAAAAACGGAGAAAAGCAGCAAAAATCTCACATTGGAGAAGTTGGAAAAATAAATGTTTTATGAACTTCTGACGATGATTATGTGATGACATTTTGATTTTGAGATTTCCTTGTGACTCTCAAATAAGTTGTTAAGTTGTTTTGTGACTTTAGAAAAGAGGAAACCAAAATAATTAGGATCAAACACGTCGTATTGTAAATGATAAGCTAGTCATAGTATAGTTTCTTAAATGCTATTTTAGTTCAACACATGAATTTAAAGCAAACACAGTATGTTTGTTTAATAAATCACATGTCCACCTACTCCATTTAACTGATTTATTTATCCTGCATGTGTTCAAGAAGAAGAATATGAGTTTAAAGGGGACCTATCATGCAAAATGCACTTTTTTATGTCTTTTATACATAAATATGTGTCCCCGGTGTGTCAGGGAACTCACGCAGTGTCAGAAAATAAAACCCTCTCTGTTTTCCTCCGTACCCAAATCTCTAAAAACGGGGCTACAACGGAGCTGATCCAGATTTGCGTCCGATATGACGTAATATCGGAAATGTAGGCTGGCTTTACACCCACGGCCCTATCGGAAACGTTGCTATCAGAAACAATGCCCGACTGTTTTGGACGTAATATGGTCGATGTTTACATTAGCATCGCTAACACTCAGAGCTAACCTGTACTGGAGAGCATGTATGTGAAGAAGCTGGATATAAAAAGGAACTCACATTGTGGTATAACCGGCAAGAGAGAAAGCCTTTGAGCTCCATACTGTTTCAGAAAGAATCCTTGATAATCCATGATAATCCATGATATGGCGTTTCATCACTGCAGAATTTAGTTTAGACAGCAGCTGCCGGGTCCCGCATGAGCTCAGACCCCTCCTTTTTATTTTTTATCAATTCTTTAATTTTTTTAACCTTTTTCCCAAAATCAGCACTTTTGAAACAGGAAGTGAAATAGAGGGATATGAGGCATGGCTAGAATGGGTGATCTGTTTGGTATTTTGAGCAAAACACTTCATAGACATGTTTTTTATATATTTTTATATATCTGAGACCTATGCTATTGCCTAAAAATAGCATGATAGGTGACCTTTAATGTTAACAACTCTTTTTAATTTGCTTGTTTTCAGATACTGTGGCGATTATCTACCTGACGATATCATCAGTACAGGTGAGATTTCCTCATCATTTTATAAGAAACAAATACTTATTTTTTGGGCACACTGATGGATCTCTTAATGATACAAAACAAATAAATCTATCTGTGATGTTGTTGTTTTGCAGGAAACGTGATGACGCTGAAGTTCCTGTCTGACGCTTCAGTCACAGCTGGAGGCTTCAAACTACAATACGTCACCTTTGATGCGTCTCTGTTCTCTCAGAATCAGTCGCACTACTTCCACTGAGCGACTCCTCTACACTGATGTGATCCTGTTGCTGTGTTCATCATGTTGTTATTGATAACATCCTGTACTGTAATTAATGTGTTTTTTGGCTGATTAAATCAATCATTTTGTCATCAATGGTTTGGTTGTGTCTGTCGCTTTTCTAACAGAGATCAAATAAGCAATCCTCACTTTCACCTTCACTGAGGCTTACTTTATAATAGTTATTTATGTACATTTACTGATAAATACAACATATTCATAAAAGCCTCATGTACAGTTGTGTTATGTCGTGGTTGTTTATTGAGAAATGAAAAAGTGCAAAACAAATATCACTGTGTAACAAAAAACAAACAGGGAAAATAACACAATTAAAGCTTTGGGGTCTGCTAAACAATAGAGTACATTTGAAACTTTTATAAACTTTATTGACATTTCTATATACATTACATTATATGGATATCTATACATGTACTTTGTTCAAAATACAAACTCAGGTTTTTACGTACAGTATACATGAAACAAATATACATGCCTTATACGTTTTTAAGCATTTTTATGTTAACCAAATCATTTAAAAGTATATTAATAAGGCTCCTCATCCCCCAGAGAATTCAGTACAAAATCCTCCTGATGACATACAAAGCCCTCCATAACCTGGCCCCATCCTACTTGACTGACCTCCTCCACAGACACACATACCGTGTTGGACACACTCCCACACACTCCCTCCGCTCTGCTGCTGCCAACCTCCTGTCCCCCCCCACCCAGACCAACCTCAAGTCCTGGGGCGACAGAGCCTTCTCCGTTGCTGCATCCATTCTCTGGAACTCACTACCCCAATCCATCAGAGATTCGTCCTCCCTCACCGCATTCAAAACATCACTCAAAACCCACCTGTTCAACACTGCATTCAACCACTGACCACCCCACCCCCTATTTTCTGTTTTGTTTATCTCTTTTTGTATCTCTTTTTGTTGTTTTTTGTTGTTGTTTTTTATTCTCTGTCAAAGCGTCTTTGAGTGTCTATAAAAGCGCTATAAAAGTATCATGCATTATTATTATTATTATTATTATTATTAAGACAACAACAAGTACTTTCCCCTGCTTTATTTCATAGTATATATATTTATATTATATTATTTAATAGAGGTAACACATGTTTTAAATTGCTGTCTATAGTAAAGAAGGATGGCAGTCTCATTTATTGTATTAATCATGTTATTGTTTACATTTCTTATGCAGAGAAATAGGTATTGTTAGAAGTGAGATAACAACACTGTCAATTTGCTGCTTTCCTTATAAGGTAAAAGAGGCTGAACCGGATGTGACGTAGTGGGGTCAGAGGTAATTTTGTACGTCGGCGTGGTGGTTTGGCGCCAGCAATTTCGCGGGGCAAGAAGAGCACAAGAGAAGAAGGAAACTACATTATTGAACATTAAAAAAGTGAAGGGCCATCGACACAAACACCCAGCTCACAGTGGACTGGGAGGCCTGTGGTTTTAGTGGTTTTCATGGTGTGTTTGAGTCCTTTCTGCTTCTTGCGTTTCTTCCTCCGAGGTGAGCAGTGTGCCAAAACAAAGTGTGAATATGTGTTCGTTATGTTTGTTTATATTATTGTTAGTTAGTCTAAATAAAGCAGGACATGTGCCCCGGCTGTTGAGGAGTTGTCACACGGGATTAGTCCACTTTTACCCGGATTAATCAGTACTATGTGCAGCTAACCTGTCAAAGCTAGGTATCATTAGCAGGCTGCAGGCTGCTTGCTAAGTGCTACAAGATGCATTCACTGACTTGTTCCCTGAGTGTGTGCATTAATACAATTAGTGCTTTTTAACGGTGTTATTTATAGCTGGAAAACACTTGACGTGTTTTGGTTCCTCTGGGTGTCCAAGAGGAAGTTGTGTATTAGGACTTCTGGCCTCTGGTAGCATCCAAAAACATGCGTCATCCACTAAAATGTTTCCAGTGGTGTAAAGTAAACTAAGTACATTTACTCAAGTACTGATCTCAAGTAAAGTGTTGACATACTTGTACTTTACTTGAGTATTTCAATATTGTGCTACTTTTTACTTCTACCCCACAATAATTCAGAGGTAAATAGAGTACTTTTACTCCACTACATGTATTAAATACCTTTTAGTTGCTTTACAGATCTGGATTAATGTTGTGCAATATAATCAAGTGTTAAATCAGACTTTAATCCACAAGCTACCCTGCAGTATACAAAGTCATTAAAACTAGCTGCACCTTTACCAGCTTTGATAACACTTTAATGATCAATCATTATAAAACATATCATATATATTATTCTGAAATGGACCAATCTGCACAATCACTACTTTTACTGTCGCTACTTTAACTATATTTTGATGGTAATACTTTTCTACTTTTACTTGAGTAACATTTTGAATGCAGGAATTGTACTTGTATCAGAGTATTCCTACACTCTAGTACTTCTACTTTTACTCAAGTAAAAGATCTGAGTACTTCTCCCATCGGCATTTTTCTTGTAATAATCTTGATTTCTATCATATGTACAGATCTGGATAAAGTGGAGGGTGAACGCAGCTCTACTTAAAACTCAGAGGTAAATTATGTTCATGCATTTTGTTCCATATCCCAGCTTATTCCCGTCATGCCAACTCTGTTTGCATAAAGTTAGACATCAGCAGTCGTTGGCAATCCAAGCAGACTCCCTCCAATAATGCTCATTAAATATGCATTACAAATTCAGCTAGTCCAAACAAATGAGAAGCCATCACATAGTGTTACAAGCTAAAATATATGCTTTCAAATATAAAATACAGTAACATTGTGATAGAGAGTATTGCAAATAAATAAAGATGTCAACAGAAATGTAATAAATGTATTTGCATAATGAAAAGTACATACACAAATACTTGAATATGAGATGTAGGTGGCCATGGTGTATACAATCTGTTGCAAATCACTGA